CGTACTTTATCAACTAGATCAGGTAAAAAATTAATATTAATTAATGTAAATTAATATAAATAATTATATAAAAAATTAAAATAATACTTATATTAGTTGCAGGTCAAAAATAATCTAAAGAATGTGTTATTATAGCATTGTGTTATAATACTTCAGAAACTGTAAAGGTCAAGGCAGTTTTTATTAGAAAAAGTCAAAATTCACGTACTTTAAAACATATTTCAAAATAATCACTACCTGTATAATATTATTGGAATAAAACAACTTATATACAAATTAGTATCTGAAATGATTGGTTAAACCTTTTTAATACACGTCTAACACTTCAAAATCATCATATAATATTACTTTATGATGATGCATCTATTCATATCTTACGTAAAGATACTACACTTTCTAATATTCGTCTTCATAAGTTACCTTCTAATACAACTGCACATCTCTAACCATATGATGCTGAAATTATTAGAAGTTTTAAAGTAAGTAATTTTAATAAAATTCATATTATAAAATAAAAAATCAACTTACTAATACATGATTTATTAATAAATATAGACACAATATCAGAAGTTATTTTTGCAAAATCGTATTAAAGCATTTGATAATAATCAAAGAACTGGTTAGCCTATATCTAAAATTATAATAAAAAAAGCAATTAAATATATAACAAATGCATGGGATTTGATTCAACCAGAAGTAATTATAAATTGTTAGAAAAAACAGATATTTTTCTGCTAAATACTGATAATGATGAAAACATTGATATTGATGATTTTGTTGATTTCACAGATTTTGATGAATATGATGAAATTAATAAATACAAGATTTTATTGATCAATTAACTCCTAATATACAGTATATGAAAATCCAATTTCTACTAAAGAATATTTATAATCACTTAACCAAATAATTATATATGCAGAACAAAAATCTGATAAAATTGATTTTTCAAAAGATCAAATTCAGACAATAAAAAAATTACGAAAAGTGGTAGAATGAAAAGAATTCTAATCTAAATAGCAAGTTACGTTAGATTTATATTTGAAAAATATGAATAAGGCTAATACTAATAAAGAATGAGATATATTTGTAATAAAGTTATGCTGAATTTATAACCAATAAAAATTGACCTTCTGAATATATAATAAAAATGTAAATGCATTATGATTTTTTATTATAATTATATACTGAATTTAGATATGATATTTGGTATTACTTTAAAATAAATAATCTTTTAAAATTCAGTGAAACGTTACTGAATTCTTTTATTATAACAAATTATGACTTCTAAAAATGAAGATTTGCTATAGAGAGCTTCAACTATATTCAAGGTCATATTTTTGCAGATTTTATTACAGATAAATTTGGTAATAACTTTCTCTTTTTTGTATTATAATCTAAAACATATTATTTATAATATTGAAATATCAGATATTCAATTAGAAAATAATATTTTTTTTAAAAGAAATAGCTAAAACTATATTTTTGAATCTTAATAATATTGAAATTCATAATATTATAGCCAAAATTTAATTATAATAGATTCAAGATTTAATAAATTTATATTATAAATATTATAATATATAATATTATAGGTTAAATTTGTATTATTTTATTAATTTTAATAAATTATAATTTAGATTTGTATCACTATTTTAATAAAAAAAATGTATCAGAAGTATATAAAAAAATTTTTTTGGCTTATGATTTATCTTAAAAGTTTTTGGATCCTATAAAGTATAATGAATCAGCATATAACTTTTTTTATTACTCTAATACATATACCATGCATAAACATTAAAAATAAAGCCTAAAATGTAAGCAAACTAACTTTATTTATAAATAATGCAAAATAGTAAATATGAGCAGAAATATTTGTAATAACATAAAATGTAATAGTTATATGACAGCATAAAGAATCTTCGCAAAATTATATGATAGGTGATTATATAGAGAAACAGTCTATAATACTTTGAATTTGAGTAGTAGATAGATTTGAAATAGCATCAGCGCTATATAATTTCATCTGCTTAATTTTGTTTATTTCTATTCTTATAAACATTTATATATATTCCTTACCTTCTAGATTTTTTTATGCAAATTTGCTTCTGTAACATCTGATAGATGTAAAGTAATTTTGCAGTATGCTTAACTTCTAGCTGTTGGGTTGATAACTGATAAATCTTGAAATCTAATTTTCTTAACCCTATTTTCAAACCCTTACATATAGTATTTCACAAAATTAGATCAGATCAGATTTTATCCAAATTTGATCAGATCTGATTTTCATTTTTTAGGATATGAATCTAATCTGAATCTGACAGATCCGTTGAAATCCAGATCTAATCTAAATCTGACAGATCGAATCTTAAATCTAAAACTGACAGATTGGTTTAAATCCAGATCTGATCTGATCTGAATTTAAAAGTTTTATTGAAAAAATGAATTTTCAGTCTAAAAGAAATCTAAAAATGTTTCTTTTCAATGAAAGGAACTTTTCAGTTCTAAAAGAGTTCTGAAAAATCATTTCTTTTTATTGAAAAGAACTTTTTAGCTTTAAAAAAGTTCTAAAAAGTCGTTTCTTTTCAATGAAAGGAACTTTTTGGCTCTAAAAAAAAGTCTGAAAATTCGTTTTTTTTAATAAAAGGAACTTTTCAGTTCTAAAGAGTTTGAAAATTTATTTCTTTTTAATAAAAGGAACCTTTTAATTTTAAAGAGTCTGAAAATTTGTTTTTTTCAATGAAAGAAACTTTTCAGTTTTAAAAGAAATCTGAAAATTCATTCCTTTTCAATAAAAAGAACTTTTTAGCTCTAAAAAAGATCTGAAAATTCGTTCCTTTTCAATGAAAGGAACTTTTCAGTTCTAAAAAATTTGAAAATTTGTTTCTTTTCAATAAAAGGAACTTTTTAGCTCTTAAAGAGATCTAAAAATTAGTTCCTTTTAATGAAAGGAACTTTTTAGCTCTAAAGAAGGTCTGAAAATTCATTTTTTCAATAAAAGGAACTTTTCAGTTCTAAAGAGTTTGAAAATTTATTTCTTTTCAATGAAAGGAAATTTTTGATTTTAAAGAGTCTGAAAAATTCATTTTTTTTCAATAAAAGAAACTTTTCAGTTTTAAAAGAGATCTGAAAATTCATTCCTTTTTAATAAAAAGAACTTTTTAGTTTTAAAAAAGATCTGAAAATTCGTTTCTTTTCAATGAAAGAAACTTTTCAATTCTAAAAAAATTTGAAAATTTATTTCTTTTTAATAAAAGGAACTTTTTAGCTCTTAAAGAGATCTGAAAATTAGTTCTTTTTCAATGAAAGGAATAAATTTTCAGCTCTAAAGAAGTTTGAAAATTCGTTCTTTTTCATTGAAAAGGAACTTTTCAGCTTTAAAAAAGTTAAATTTAGATCTGACAAATCAGATTCAAATTCAATCTGAATCTGACAGATTAGATCTGAATCTGAATCTGAATCTGATGAATCAGATTTAATCTGAATCTAAATCCGAATTAGATCTGAATTTGACAGATCAGATCTGAATCTGAATCTGAATCTGATGAATCAGATCTGATCTGAATCTAAATCTGAATTAGATCTGAATTTGACAGATCTGATCAATCTGAATCTGTACGAAACACTACTTATGCATATTTATGTTAATATAAAATTTCACCTTGATACCTTTATAATGTGTAATCTAATACAAGTTGCCTTTTGATATAATCAAACTAAACTTACTTTGTAATACAAATCCAACAGTATTCTCCTTCTCATCAACATTTTTAACTTTCTCTCTCTTAGAAAACATAGATAATTCTTGCAATAGGATCTGAAATTTTTCTTGTTCACAAGTAATCCTTAAAGAGGTCTATCTTCTTGATGAATTTCTTCTTTATTGAGATTCACTTTCTTGCACATTGGTGTTATCCTCACT